GGGCGGCCCGGGCGGCGGAAGCGCAGGGGCGCGCATGGGAGGGGAGGGGAGGGGAGGGGAGGGGCGCGCCGCCCCGCCCCGCCCCGCCCCGCCCCGCGCAGAGACCGGCCCAGGAGCTGCGCGCAGCCGCACTTCCGGCCTCGCTCGCGAGGCGCTCCGGGCCCGCGCGCCCGGCTCGAGAACGGCGCCGCTGTCCTCGACCCGGGAAGCGAGCGGCGGCCCCGCGCGTCTCGGCGACCCCCGCGGCCGAAAGAGCCGCGGCGCGCGTGCCACGCAGCGCAGCGCCCCCAAGGTGCGCCGGGGCCCGCGGGGCGCTTCCCCCGGCCTTGCGCCGCCCGCACCTCGCGCACGGCCGGAACGGGCAGGCTCCCCCTTGCTACCATCCCTCGGAGCGCGCGTGGAGCACAGCATGCCCACCGAACCCGGAAGCTCGCGCCGTGCGCACGTCTAGCTTCGCAAGTCTGTGCTCTTCCGCCCCGCCCCTCCTTGGATTGCCTCTCCAGCACACGGGACTCTATCAGCTTAACCCTTTCCAACTGAACCAGGAAAAGGAAGCCCCCGGACTAGGATCTGTCCTAGTCAAAAGAGCCAGAATTCCCGGCCGTTGTGGCAAAACAAGCGTGTGGACGTTGAACCCTGACATGTAAACCTTAACGGGGCACAATCCTGTGCGTGCTTGGGAGAAAAAAGCCTTCCCATTCCAAGCATGCCCCTCTCAGCTCTGCTGTAGGACTTTGTTCCGCTCACTTATTAGTTTGCCCCCCTAAGTTGGATTGTTTGGGGGACAAGTTTGGCGACGTCTGATCTGTGCCCTGAGGTTGGTAGATCCCAAGATTTGTAAGCTTTGGGGGCTCTTAGAAATTGAGGAGTGCCTAGTTTGCCTGCAGGATGGCGTTACCCATCCGAGGTGCTACCCTTTCTTGCTAAGTAAAATTTATGGCTTTTACATTCCTAAGGTGTGGATAAATTCTTGAGACCCATAATTTCCTCATTTGCTTTCCCATTCAAAGGTAAAATTTCCACAAAGCCCCTTTTATAAACCATAACACAAATACAAGAAGGATTGCAAAGTCCTCCTGTGTAGTACCTTATACTCTAAAAGGACGGGACCATAAAATTTCAGGAGGCAATTTTCTCTATTGATGGATTGTGGGTATTTATGAAATGAAAGGGAAGGCAAACATGGAGATGGAACACCTGGCCTTCTGATTCTTCTAAAATGAGGTTGTAGGAAGTGATTGTGCAGCTTCCTGCTCAAAATTACTGATCCTTGTTAGCCATTTTCTTAGCTGGCAGCAGATACTGGCTTTCTCCCATTTGTAGTGATCACATGCCAATGAGCACAGCGCAAAACGCCCCTGCAAACTTTCCATACTAGACATAAATGCTGCACTGCCATGTCAGTCGGCACGAGAGGGGAAGCAACGTGGCCGTGACACAGGCCTGATCCTCCATTAGATTCACTTTCTCCTGGCTCTGCTCCCCAGGAGAGCACCCCAGAATACGCTTGGGGAGCATCACTTTTACCCGCGGCCTGAAGAATGCCTAAGTCATACAGCGGACAAGCAAAATTGCCACAGCCCGGCAGGACAAGAGCAGCACAAAAGTTTCCAGGGCCAGCAAGCTCCCCTGCGGCTGTTCACGTGAGATGGGATGCCCTTTGCTGGACAACCTGGAGCCAGTGAGTGCGAGGATCACCCGCAAATGCAGCATCTGCTCAGGAGGGACGCCCAAGACGATAAAACGGGGAACTGCTGCCCGAGGATGGAGCCACCATGGCCATTTTCAAGAGAACAACCCCCTTGTGGATGTTCTGTAGCGCACAAGTCCACCTGGACTTTGGGGGTTGGAAATCAAAGGAAAAATATGTTGTCTGCACATGGCTAATGAGAATTAATCAGAACAGTTACAAGTGATTAAAACCTTCATTTTCCTATTGTTTAATATGGCACACTACCAAAGAAGCAAGTATTTTTTTCTGACTCTGGATTATGGAATGAAGGCCAGCCCCCACATTTAAATTCAGAGGGCTTGCCCAGTGATATCTGCACAGGCAGTGCTCACCTGGGTTTGAAAGCAGGGAGGTAACTGAGCCAGCTCCTTAAATGGTCAATTTCAGAAGCACTACGATGTATTAAAATAGCAAATGAGGTTCAAGGGTATGAGGTGCCACACATCAAGGAAAAAGGGGAGGCACAACGAAGGGCAACAGTGTCATTACTGACAGCCGTGAAGCTTCTGTCTTTTGAAATTAATTCTCTATACCATAATCAGAAACTGAGCATAAACATGGAAATGGACCCTGAGGCTTCCTGGAAACTGAATGCCATTCAAGCAAGTGTAGATAGGAGACTGACCTCACCTGATGAAACGGGGCAGGAAACCCTGCAGGTTGCAAGAACAGGACCTCACCACTCCTTCGGCCGATGGGGAACACCACACAGCGCAGAGCCGGAGCTTGAGGTTCAACTAACTGGTATCAAGCGTGACCTCACAGGCCGCAAGAAGCAGAAGCTTCACCTCAGACTTGTTCTGTTACCAGAACTCAGGAACGCAAATCATAATTTTGTGCACCTAAAGGCAGTTTCTGCCCTTCCACGTGTACTAAGAAATATGACAATTAACAAATAAGAATGGCCAACACGACAGTCAAGAAGTCACTGAAGTCAGAAACCAGGTCAAGGAAAGCCCTCTTTATTTATTGTTAGGCGCAGCTATCCATTTCTCTGTGCACAAGGCATGGCGAGAGGCCCCCCCCAGGGAGGCCCCCGGGTCTCCTCAGCCTCTTCTCGTGTCTCTCCGAGCCGTGTCTGCAGCCTCAGTCCAGCTGCAAGGAGAGAAGGGCAGCGAGTGAGCATCCGCAACGTTGCTTCGGCGTCGCCAGGATCCCCACCAAAATCCACCGGGAGGCGACAGGAAGCATCCGTGCAACCAGAGGCTGCGGGAGACCCTTCCGTTCCATCTCCAAGCAAATACGGGCCATCCCCACAGATTCCAGGGCCCACAGACGCCAGGTTCAGCTTGCAGGGCTCGGGCCGAGCATAGAAAGCACGGTTGGCGGGAGAGACCTGGCTGGTCAGCAAACCGGGGGATCACAGCTTCCATCAACCCCCACTGGTGCCTGGGCTGGCTGGGGCTGCTGGGAGTTGTAGGCCACGCCATCGGGAGGCCACCACGGCCTGGTGCTCAGGCTGGGGAGCCCCTGCGGGTTCGGCAGCCCTGACGCAAGCAGCAACCCCCACGGAGCCCGAGCCCCCTTCCCGCAGGAGGCGGGTGCAGGCGGCTGGGGCGCCGGACGCGGGCATGGGGCCGCCGCGCTGCACCCCCCGGCTCCCGGGACCGGCCCCTAGGGGCCCGTCCCGCCCCGAACCCGCAGCTCCCAGAGGCCCCGCAGCTGCAGCGGGGCTGGCCCGACTCCAGGCTGCCTCCGCGGCCGCACCGCCTGCGTGCGGGGCCTCCGCAAATCGGGAACGGACGGAGCCGCCCGGCCCGGCCCGGCCCGGCCCGCCTCGCCCCGCCAGGAAGCCCGCGGCCGGCAAGGGGGAGCGCGCCCCCGCGGCCCACCTTGATGAAGCCGATGTCCTTGGCGTACTGCCGGAAGCACTGCCGGCACATGTTCAGCCCGTACTTGCGGATCAGGCCGTGCCGGTTGGAGCACACGCGGCTGCGGGAGGGAGAGAGGGAAGCACCCCGTGAGCCGCAGGGTCCCACATCCAGGGAAGCCCCCCCGCAGCACGGGGCTCGCCACGGAAAGGCCGCCGGCCGGATCTTGCCCGGGAAGAGCCCGTGGACTAGACGGGCATTTCAAGCGCAGTGGCCCAGCCCGCAGGGGCGCGACCGGGAAGGGGGTCTCGGGCGGCGGCGGGGCTGGAGCCCACGTGGCGCCGCGGGGCGGCGGGGATGGGCCTGGGGCGCCGGCCGTGGCTGCAGGGGCCGCGCAGGGAGCGGGGCGGAGGTCGGGCCGCGCACTCCCCGCCACGAGGCCGCTCCGGGCGCCGCCGCTCCCCCTGCCCGGTCCTCCCGGTCTACCCCGGCCCGCCCGCCCGGGACGCACCAGGAGCGCGAGCCCTGCCCGAACTTGCGCGGGTGGCTCCAGTAGAGCTGCTGGTGGCCCATCGCGCTCGCGCACTCGCCGCTCAGCCACGCGCCGCCGCCGGGGGAGAGGCAGGAAAGGCCGCGCCGCGCACGCGCACGCGCACTCGCCCGCCCG